AACCGCTTAGAGAGGGCTGAAAGCCCTATGAAGCGTTATATAAGTCTAACTGCTATTGCTATTGCTATAATTGTGGATACCAAGTTAAAGAGCAAAGGCCAAAAATAAACCATTTGCTTTATATAGATGATCCAAAACTATAACATAAATCAAAAGTTGAAATCAAGTGAACTATGTCCACATAGGAATAAAATTTGACTTGGATCTGGCAATTAAAGAAGGCAAAATTATAGAAGAAGAAAGGCTACCACTATGAGTGGAACTATCATTAGACACCTGGTGCCTAAAGAAAAAGAAAAATACTTAGGGTTAATGGAACTTTCTGATTTATTGCATGACCAAGTTTTAAAAAATCCTCTAAACTGAAATTATATCACTGAGCAGGGCAAGAGGCCCCCATCTACTATCCAGCTGTAGGCTATGCTATCTCTTATCTAGTAATTCCCTTGATGGTGTCTCTTTGCCATATACCTTTATAATAAAAACTGTGGAAGAAAAAGAACAGTCAAATGATTATATCAGGGAATGCAAAGAGTTCTCACAAACGAAGGCAAAGAGTTTTCCTTACAGAAGTTGTAGGTATAGGCTCTTGAAAACAACAAAAAAACAAATTAGAATACAGGGGGGAAAGTAATTCAGTTGGATAGATAACTGGAAAAGCAAACCACTCCATGGCTAGTATATGCATAATACTGAAGGAAAATTTGATGAAAATCTAACATGTTTGTGCCTGGAATCTAGAACATTTAAAAAAGAAACAGAAGGAATAATCATGGCAACTCCAGAAGAAGAGCTACAAATAATTGCCAACAAAAATAATGAACATATTTCCAAAATGCCAAATGGCAATTATTTAAAATTAAGAATAATACTCTAGATTGTATCTTTAATAGTAAAATCACTCAGAAGATTGCCATGATAGGATTGTAAAAATTGGAATTTAAATTGGGATTTGAGGAGAAAATACAGCATTTACAATTTGTAAATGCTACTACTATATGACCATGTGCCTGAAAATGTTTTGCAAAATAAAGATATCAAAATTGAGGAATTTCAAGTTTCAAATACATACAGGGTAAGGTCTGTTCACCATGGAATTCTGATCTCTAATGTGCAAATACAGATTAATTTTAATTTCTAAACCTTGAAAGATTAAAAGGATAGTTAACAGAACTGGCTTTACCTAAATTTTTGTTTTTGTTTATTTCTAGGTGAAGTCGGGATTCTTCCATGAAAGCGATTCCAAAGCTGTGGCTAAATCCATCCGTGATCGTGTCACCCTAATCAAGAAGACTCGGGAGCAAAGGCAGGTGGGCAGCCTGGAGGAAAGGAGGGACTCGCAAAGTCAGCTTCCAAGTGGATTGCCCTTACTTCAGCCGCAAGGCTCCTCATTCACCCCACCTTCTCAGCAAAGCAAGACCGAGTGTGAGGAAACAGAGGTTGATCAACATGCCAGACAACAACACGTCCTTCAACAAATGCAGCACAGTTTTTCCCTCACTGGTAATGAGCAATCATAGGCACTTAATACATAATATTATTTATTATTTATTATTACATAAATAATAAGGGTATCATTTTGTTCAGGAAATGTCTTCTCTGAGGTGTCTGAGCTTTTGGCTCCATTTTGCTGGATTAGTGAAAGCCCTTTCTGGTTGCTTTCTGTAGAATTTAATCTTGGCTGAATTGTTAGCGAATATATTATGGGAGCTGAAGCTATGTTAATAAAACCATAATAATAATGAATGAATACATTCATATGTGAGTTTAATCCATGTACATTTTTAAACAGCAATAATAGCTATCCAGAGTAACTTTTCAGCTGCTCATTTAGAAACTTTTTATTACTTTCACAAATTACTTGAAATTTTGTTGGGAGGGAGCTTATTTTCAGAACTATAAAATGCAACTGAACTATAAAATGCAACTGTTTCAGAACTATAAAATGCAACTTTCACAAGAGATAACCAATTGTGATTTCTGAAAATTGCTGCCTCTTTCAGTTGGTTTCTACCTTTTATTTGTCAAATGGCAAAACTTGAATGAGCCATCTTTTCAAACTTGTTAGTTCTTCATTCTGTTCAATACCAGCAACACAAAAGTCATTTTAATGCTTAGAGTCAATTGGTCTAGTGTTGAAGGCATTAGGCTAGAAAGCAGGAGACTGTGAGTTCTAGTTGTGCCTTAGGCATGAAAGCCAGCTGGGTGACCTTGGGCCAGTCACTATCTCTCAGTCCAACCCATCTCACAGGATTGTTGTGGGGAAAATAAGAGAAGAAAGAGGTATTAGGTAGATTTGCTGATGAGTTATTTATAAAAATAATAAATATTGATTTAAAAATGTATTTAAATAAAATAAAAATAAATGAGAGTTTAGCAGAGAGACCTCCCCTCTCAATAGAAGCTTTAGAAGAAAACTCTATGACAATGAATTGGAGCAGTGAGCTAGTGTCATTGTCAAAGCTGAATTCACTGAAAAAACATTTGCTTGTTTTTCATCATGTTCCCCACTGCAAGGGGAAGGACCAGAACACGTTGCTCCCTGGAAGCTGTTGGATCCTGTGGATTTCATGCTGCTCTAAGGAGTGTTTTTCTCGAACCTGAAAGCACATTAGAGCTTTGGTTAAGATGTGGAATAATGAAGTTTAAGCACTTAATATGAAGGCTCCTAAATTCCCCCTGTCCTGTATTAGTGCCATAAATGTTCCATGGTTCATACAACAATTTGCATGGTATGAAATGTGAGAACAGAAATGTGCAAGTCCCAAATGAATCCATCTAGACAAAATGCATGCTTATTTATAGAGCCTATGTCACAGCAATTAGGCAGATAAAAGTAGTAATTTATTTTCCGCTTGATTACATCCATGGAATCAATAATTCACGAGAACTCTGGTGGTCCAACTACCGATAACTGTGGCCAGTGTTCTCATACAATCTGATAGCCACTGTGAGCCATTTACACAACACAAATCTGAAATGTATTATTCAGAAAGTACTGAGCAGTTTACACAGTACTTTGTGAATAACAGGTTTCAGATTTGAGTTGGGTTTTCTTTTATTTTAGGCAGTGTCATACCTAGAATTCTTCTGTAACCTTATCAGTTTTGTTGCTTGATCCCTTATAAATAACTGAATCCTTGGTTCAATTTATACTGTTACTTGTTTGATTGCTTCCTAGCTTGGTGTCTAAGGGCTTTTAAGGATTTTGTCCTGCCATGATCTTTTAGATTGTTTAAAAAAAGGATGATGAAGCAATTACTTAAGAAGCTTTTATTAGACATTGCTGATTTTAACCACTATGAGCAACAACTCCAGTATTCCATATCTAGCCAGCCCAGTAGAGAAGGCATTAAAGCCTCTGAAGATTTAGATATAATGGGTCATCTTGAGACTGAATTTAGACCTTCATGTGTCATAGAGATGGCTTTGCTCACTCTCAGACATAGTGTTTGATACTGTACTTATTTAAACAGATTGGTTGTGTTATCTAGAATCACTTGTGACAATTGTGGTAATTTTTAAAAGAAATGTTTAGTTATTACTTGTTTTCTTTTCTTAGGGAGAAGCTTTCATTTTGTTGTATTCTTTCTGAAGTAAATATTCCATCCATACATAAAACTCCATTTCCTGACAATCCAAGTATTTGCCTGAATGAGGCAGAGGGAAGTGAAGTGGTTTTGATTTATTCTGAAAGAATGAACATTCTGCCTTTTCTTTCTTTTCACACTGACACAGCTGACAACTTGTCTGAAACAGGAGCAGGAACAGTTATACTGTCAGATGCCTCTAGCCAACATAATCTGGCATTTTCCACGGAACACATGATGGGTACTCAACAAGTCCCCAACCTCTCACAAACTGAAAATAGCAGTGTTCAAGGGCACATATATACTTCTCAACAGCTGATGGGGCATTATCAGTCCAATGCAGGGGTAAGAGGCTTATTGTATTCTTTTAAACATAGTAATTATAATTGTTGTATTAAGAAAGTATCTTTTCCTATAGGAGAAGGTGGCAGAATCTGGGGATGGAGTCAAAAGATGACTCTCTATGTAGCCACAAACAGACTAAGTTATCCCCCCCTTGAATTCTGCCAACATTTATCAAGCACAAAATCTTTAATCGAGTAGGTTCCTAACAAAGGCATGAACAATAAATCAGTCTTAATTGGAACTTCATGTGTGGTCCTCATCTTTCATGCCTGACATTATCCCATAGAGACGTGTGTGTGTGTGTGTGTGTGTGTGTGTGTGTGTGTGTGTGTGTGTGTGTGTGTGTGTATGTATGTATGTATGTATGTATGTATGTATGCTGGTCTTATTGTATTCGGGTCTTTTCCCGTGTAAGATTGAGCTTCTCTTGGCAACGTTTCGGCGAGGTCTCACTCACCATCTTCAGGCTGGGTTTTGGGCTTAAAGCGTGGTCAGAGCTGCCATCTTTCTATAATCTTACACGGGAAAAGACCCGAATACAACAAGGCCAGCATACCTAGTGTGAGATTGAAATTGTCTTGGCAACGTTTCAGCGAGGACTCACTCACCATCTTCAGGTTGGGTTTTGGGACCAGCATACCTACACCCATGAAAATCTACGAAAATGTGTGTGTGTGTGTGTGTGTGTGTGTGTGTGTGTGTATTTGGATCTTTTCCCATGTAAGATCCGAATACAACAAGACCAGCATACCTAACACCCGCAAAAATCTACGAAAACTTTTCACAGGTGTAGGTATGCTGGTCGTTGTATTCGGGTCTTATATATATATATCTCCACATTATACCCTATTGTGCAAGTATCTCCCAGTTTCCTTCCAGGTGCAATTCAAGGAACTGGTTATTACCTTTAAAATCCTATTATGGCACAGGACTAGGTTATCTGCAGGATTGCTCTCCCTAAGGACATCTGTCCATCCTACTACCAGAACAGGGTGGGTATACTCCTAGTCACCTCCCTTAAATGTTGCCATCTTATGGTATTTAGGAACATGCCTTTCCACCTTCCCCCTGAAATTTCTTAGATCCCACCAACCCATTCTTTTAACTTTCCAAACAGCATTTAAGACCTGGCTTTTCCCCTCAAGTGCTGGCATAGGGTGAGACCGATGAGATGAATTTGTTGTGGGCTTTCATGTCAAAATGTAACTATGGTTGTTTTTAAAAAAAATATCTATGGCTTTAATTTTTTATTGTAAATAGATGTTTTTTTTAATGTATTGGTTGCCTGGACTTTGGTACAAATGGGTGGTTATATAAATTTTCTAACGAAAGAAAGGCCCAAGAACATATTTTGGTTATTAATTCTGCATCCTAAGAAGATATCCTGTTTTGCCTAGGGAATGTGTGAGAAAAGGTTACAAATAGGGCAGATGAGACGAAGAGAACTGAAGTGCAGACAATTGTTTTGTTTTTCTAAGTGAAGTCTGTTCATTATTCTTTATACAGGTCCAGCCGGCATTGCCAACAAATATGGCTCACCCTGGTGCTTTACCATTAATGCAGACTCAGACTTCTGGTCTACCTACTCACAATTTGGCACCTCCTGCAACTCTCCAAGCCCAAACTTCTCCTCTTGCAGCTCAACAATTCCCAGCAAGAATGGTAAGGTTTCTCTCTAATAAACTGCATTACGTAGAAGATTTTCTAAAGCATCACTAAATGTGTCCCATAAATTTATTTTAACCATCTAAATTAAAAAGGGTTGTAAGTTGAGGACTACCTGTATTTCCTTCAATGGAAGCAATCATTGAAGGAAATACAGGTAGTCCTCAACTTACAACCACAATTGAGTCCAAAATTTCTGTTGCTAAGTGAGACATTTGTTAAGTGAATTTTGACCCATTTTATGACTTTTCTTGTCACAGTTGTTAAGTGAATCACTGTGGTTGTTAAGTTAGTAACTGGTTGTTGAGTCAATCTGGCTTCCCCATTGACTTTGCTGGTCAGAAGGACGCAACAAAGAACACTGCACTGGGACACTGAACTATCATAAGTATGAATCAGTTGCCAAGTGTCAGAATTTTGATCATGTGGCCATGGGAATACTGCAATGGTCATAAGTGTGAAAAATGGTCATGTCACTTTTTTCAATGCTGTTGTAACTTTGAATGGTCATTGAATGAACGGTTTTAAATTGAGGACTACCTGCAGTAGTTACTGTAGTATTACTTCTCATTTAAATCCAAACTACATAGTACCATTTAATGTGTATGTTTTGCCTGATGGCATCTCTCAATAGGTGGCAGTTTGTAGTATCAAGGTCAAGGGCATGTTTAATTCTCCCTTTTTTTCTTTGCAAAAACTCCAAGCTGTAGTTCTAGAATTATTCTCCTGGAAGTAAATAATGTCTAAAACTCTGATGGGAAGAACAAAGAAAATGAAATTGTAAAATTAGGATTTTGGGGAAAAAATGCTTAAGTGTGAGGTAAAATGGGTAACTACAGGTAGTTCTCAACTTACCACCAGCTGCAACCATTTAAAGTTAGAACAGACCACTGAAGAGCTACTTACTATCCAATTCTGAAGTTCCAAGCCCCCCAGTCACATGACCACATTTGGGGTTTTCAGAAAGAGGCCTGCATTTACAATGGTTTGCAGCATCCCGTGGCTACATGACCAAGATTTGATACTTTTGCCAAAACCCAATGTTTATTTTCGAGTTTTGGGGAAAATGCCCTATGGTAAAGGACTTAACAACTGCCACAAAAAGGTCATAAAATTGGGTTCATCACGTGGGTGACCTTTTTTACAATCCATCTTGAGTTAAAAATATAATGGGCACGCTCCATTACAGTCATAAATCGAGTATTACCTGTATGTCCCAGCTATTTTTGTATATTATCTGTTGGTAATATTTTTTATCCAGTTAAATTATGCATCTTTGCATTGTAAAATGAGGCTTGAGAGATCTAACTTCATTAGCAAATACATCTGAGTATCCATTTCATGGCACTAATGATTGCCACTCTTTTAAGCACTCTTGTTTTGATACTTCATAGTCCTGTGTATCAGCAGGTGGCAATTCCTAAATGATTTTGCTCAGCTCCAAAGGTAAACAGGGTGAACACTGTTTACTACTTAGAAGGGAATACCAGTAATGTAGGTTAAACTTGAATTGTCAGCAAACATATCCTTTGTTACCCTATAACATATAGCTCAAAGCTGTCCTGAATTTTTTGGCCAAAAACTAATTTAATAAATAATCAGATAATAATGAAACATTAGTCCCAATACACATATTTAAGAAACCATATACAGTTATTTAGGAAACAACCAGCTGTTCAGATTGTATTTATTTAGATAATCTTGAATCTTGAGATTTGTATTTCCCTTCTAAAATTTAAAGCTGGAAATGGCAAAGAAGTATGAGATGTGCATTCAGTTCAGAATTAAGTCTATTTTAGGGAGACTTGTTTATATTGATCAAGTCATACTTATTTCACTTGGTGTATTCCTGTAAAAATAACCTAATTTTCATCCATTAAACCACCATCAATTTGTATAATCCCACATCAAGTACCAAATTATGATTTTATATGTAAATAAGTATGTTTTTTAAAATAAAAGTATGCTTCCAAGTAGTGCAGCTAACAGTGAAAAAGGATCTGAAGAACTTATTTCCGTGGCTTTTTTCTTTGAACATTTACGTGCCTGAAAGCTTTTCCACTCTCACTTATAAGTCTAAAGACTTATCTAAAGATAAGGGTTGTATTTCTGGAAGCTATAGAGACTACTGTCTCTCTACAATGCATATTGCCAGATGACTAACATTCAAAAATAGCAGTTTTTGCTCAGTCATCTCAAATATAAAAATGTGAAAAACTTTCAGCATTTCCATTTATTCTTTTTAGAGCACAGCCAATTGTCCAGTTCCTATTGTTAAAGTAATTCTTTTAAAACATTGAATAAGTGTTGCCAAGGTGATGGAATTGTACAGCTGATATTTTTAACTTGTACAATACATTCTATATGTTGCTGCTTTTTATATACCCAATTGTGTCTGAAATGATGTCCAGAAGATTATTTTTATGACAACATTTTATCCTAAGCATTCTTTTCTGTATGTTGCTACTTTGCATATGCTAAGTTCTCTGTGAAATGATACTTAAAAGATTATTTTTCTGACAACATTTTATAGGATAAAATCTTGATGCAAAAACAATCACTTTATCAACATCTAAAATATGTTTATTTTTTTACCAGCCTCCAGATTCACAGGTATCCTACAGTGCAGAAAGTCAAGCTTTGGATGGATCCATCATGGGAGTTCCTCAGCAGATATTGACAATAACTTCTCCTCAGAATATACCTGCCTCACAGGTGGGGAATCAACACATGCCAACAAGCATACAGTTAACTTCTGCTGCTAGACTTGGTAGTCAGGCTACAGCTGCTGTGGGTTCGGTGGAATTAGAGACTGCTCCTGCCAATTTGGTATCTGCCAGTCAGTCCCCTGTGCTACATGGGCAGCCTTCAGTTCAATTTGTCAACAACATGCAAGTTCTTCAGTCAGTTCCACAAGGAGTTAGACTTATTCAACAACCCAAGCAAGTTTCACAGCAGGTGCCATCAACACAGCAAGTTCCTCAGCAGGTGGCATCTATGCAGCCAAGCCAGCAAATGGTTCCACAGGTGACATCATCTTCACAGCAGGTTTCTCAGCAAATTGCAGCTATGCAGCAGATTCCCCAGAAACTAATGGCTATGCAGCAGCCTCAGCAGGTAGCATCTATGCAGCCACCTCAACAAGGGGTGTCCTTGCAACAACCGCAGCAAATTCACCAGCAAGGGATGCCTATACAGCAGTCTCAGCAAGTTCCTCAACAAGCGCCATCTATACAGCAAAGCCAAACTGTTCCACATGTGGCTTCTACTCAGCAGATTTTGGAGCAGCCTCAGAAAATTTCCCAACAGGCAGCATCCATACACCAGCCTCCGCAAGTTCCTCAGCAAATTCTCCAACAAGTGGCATCAGCGCAGCAGCCCCAGCAGAATCCTCAACAAGTAACATCCACACAGCAGCCCCATCTTATTCCTCAGCAGGTTCCACAACAAGTGACATCCATACCGCAGTCACACCACATCCCTCAGCAAGTTCAACATCAGGTGACACCTTTACAGCAATCACAACAAAGTCCTCAACAGACAGCAGCCATGCCACAACCTCAACAGGTTCCACAGCAGGTGACGCCCATGCAGCAGCAGCACATTATACAGCAGGTGACAGCCATACAGCCAACACAACAAGGTCCTCCACAGGCAGCATCTATGCAGCAGCCACAGCATATTCAGCAAGTTCCACAGCAGATGACACCCATACAGCAACAACAACAACAATGTCCTCAACAAGAGGCATCTCTACAGCAGCCACAGCATATTTTTCAGCAAGTTCCACAGCAGATGACACCCATACAGCAACAACAACAATGTCCTCAACAAGAGGCATCTCTACAGCAGCCACAGCATATTTTTCAGCACGTTTCGCAACAGGTGACACCCATACAACAGTCACAACAAGGTCCTCAGCAAGCAGCATCCATACAGCAACTGCAGCATATTCCTCAGCAGGTGACACCCATACAGCAGCCACAACAAAGTGCTCAACAGGTTCCACAGCAGGTGATACCCATACAGCAACCACAACAAAGATCTCAACAGGCCGTATCCATACAGCAGCCACAGCACATTCCTCAGCAGGCTCCACAGCAGGTGGCACCCATACAGCAACCACAAGTATCTCAACAGGCAGCATCCACACAGCAACTACAGCATATTCCTCAGCAGGTCCCTCAGCAGGTGACATCCATACAGCAACCACAACATATTCCCCAACAGGTGACGTCCATACAGCACCCACAACATATTCCTCAGCAGGTCCCACAGCAGGTGACACCCGTACAGCAGCCACAACAAGGATCTCAACAAGCAGCATCCATGCAACATGTTCCCCACCAGGTGACACCCATACAACAGCAACAGCTTATTCCACAACAGGTGACACCTATGCAGCAGCCACAGCAAAGCCCTCAACAGGTGGCCTCCATACAACAGCCACAACATATTCTTCATATTCCGCAGCAGATGACATCCACACAGCAGCCACAGCAGGTTCCTCAACAGGCAACAACCATGCAGCATTCACAGCAAATGGCAACTGTTCAGGCACAACAAGTGGCATCTATACAGCAGCCACAGCAAGTTCCACAGCAGATGATATCTATACAGCAGCCACAGCAAGGACACCCACAAGTTCCACAACAGGGGGCATCCATGACTCAACCCCAGCATGCTCCTCAGCAAGTTCTCCAGCAGGGGATGTCAATGCAAATGGCACCAGGACTGCAATCTCAGCAAGTTCCCAATCAGCAGATTGGATCCCTGCAGATTCCACAGCAGGTAGCCTCCATGCAGCAAGTTACACAGCATGGGACCTCCTCCCAGCAACCTCAGCTGGTCCCCCAACAGGTGGCATGTGGGCAGCCAACTTCACAATCTCAACATACTGTACCCGTTCATCAGGTCTCCGCTGTACCACAACAAATGACACTGATGCAGCAGGTCTCACAGTGCCCAGAAATATCCCTAGATACTTTGGGGCCTCAACAAGAGCAGCAAATGACTCAGATGCACCATTCTACAAATCAGCATCCTTGTGTAATGCAACATACGTTATTTCATGTGCCTCCACAACAGCAGAAAGAAGAACAGTTTGTTCTCTCTTCTAATTCCAAAGATCAGTTGCCGGCTGTCTCTCAGCAAGACATGGAAAAGCATCAGCAATCTGAATTCTCAGGTTCAACTTCAGAAAAGGTGGCTTATCCCACCCAGACCCAATATCAGCTGCAAAGCCAGGAACAAATGATATATGCAGCACAATCTCCACACAACCCATCCGTTTCAGAGCAGCTGCAACACCAGCTAGAGCCAACTAACCAGCTGCAGGGTCCAGAGCAAGCTGCATGTCAGATGCATGTCACTTTTGCAGCACAGGGGTCAAATCAGGCGCCTTGCACAGAGCCATTGGTTTATGCAGCTTCTGGAGTATATTCAGGACATTCTTTGGACCAGTCAGCATATGTTTATCAAGGGCAGGCAGCATATATAACTCAACCAACATATATGGCTCAACCTCCAGAGATTCAGCAAGCTCATTTAACAGTACGGAATACTGATCAGCCAGGTTTTGCCGTGCATTCACCTGATCAGTCATTGCACCTGTCGAATGATGGAGATGCTGGCAACATGGAATTGCAGATCTGTTCAACACAATCCACAAAAACCCATCCTTACCCTTCTGAGCCACATCTGCCTGAACCATCAATATATCTTATCCAGCAAGATTCTAGCTTGGGCCACCAGCAGCTGCACCCACCACATGTGGCACATAAAATTCCAGAAGGACAACAGTCAGGGCCACAGGCACCTTTTGCTTCAACTCAGCCATCTTTCACGCCACAAATGAAACCACAACCTCCTTATCAGGAGTTTAGCCAGCAACCTATTACTCAGCCACACAAAGCCACAATCCCTCAATCTGCCCTTGTATCAGAACAGCCAGAACAAGCTTATACCATGCAACAATCTTTGGATGCGCCAGGACTGTTGAATCATGCTCCTCTCCTCCAACAGTCTCATGCATTTCAACCAATTGACAATAACCAACAGTTTATTTCTCCACCAGCACAATCAACATACATTCAACAGCAGACAGTATGTCCGAACTCAGTTTTATCTGCAGAATTGATTGTCCAGGAGCAGATGCCTATGGCAGCTACTTTGAACCAGCAAACAGCATTTACTGCTGTGAATGAACCAAACCAAGAGTATCATCAAGGACAGGACATTCCACAGGTACGCCAGTTGTTATATTTACAAAAAAAATAATCACTTTCTCAGCTATTTAATCCCAGAGAAGGGCAAAGAAAAAAAGGTTTATTATAAGAGAACTCCCCTATTCCTTGATAGCTGTGCAGAGTTCATCCTATGCTGCCATGGTCATAGGCTCTTAAGTGCAGGTTTACTATGGAAACATTTTTTGGAGTAAAAAATCAAGGTTTTTTTTTTGTTTTTTTTTAGTTTTCCCTCATCCCCACCTTTTAATCTCTTGGAAAGAACTTTGTCTTTTGTTTGTAATTTTTGCCAAACCACCAAATCCATGAACATATTACTAGGGAGTGGTAAAAACACATACTGTGCGCACCTCTTGCCAGCCAGTTGATTTTCAAGTCTCTGCTGGGAGAGACGTGGGCGTATGCGCGGGGATGGTGCGGTCACACATGCATGTGGGAGGGGTTGCACGTGCATGCGCAGAGGTGAGGCGGATACAGCGCCTCCCTGCTTTGTGCTAGCAGGCCTCCCTGAAGCCTCCTGGGACCAAAAGCATCTCCCCATCCCCTGCGCATATGCGCACAACCCCCATTTTTGGTTCCAGGAGGCTTCAGGGAGGCCTGCTAACACCTAAACGGCGCTCATGGGGGGAGCTTGGGGGAGTCACCTGCACAGGGGCAGAGCCTGGGCGGGGCATTGGATTATGGGTGTTGGCACGTGCGTGCTTTTGGCACCCGAGGGAAAAAAGGGTCGCCATCCCTGTTCTAGACTCTTCTGAAAACATCCAGTGTTGGAGCACCCATGATTTCTGGAGGCAATTTAAAAGATTAAAAAATAGGTATAATCCAAGAGGGGTTGAGCATTCCCATGCCTTTCTTTGACTCTATGCTTCTGCTAACATGTTACTTGATTGCATTTGATCCTATTTGCTGTGCCATCCTGGTTCTCAATTACTTATCTCAGTATATGATTTGTCTCTTTTATCATCTTCACCCATATAATATAATTCCAACTGTGTATGGCCCCCTCCCCTACTTCATGATTCTTTCTCTGATACTTGACTTCTAATACCTATCATTACTTCAGAATTTTCTTTCCTTCTTCTTGCTGACTCTGTCCTTTTCTTTTTAGCTTCCTGGGCATTTTGCCCTGTAACTTAAATTGTATACAAGTATCACATCTCAGTTATCCTGTCTTCTTAATGATACAGTTCACCATCTTCTTGGATACAGCTTAAAGTTTTAATTTCACAAAAATTGCTATCTCATACCTTAAAATCCTTAAAGAAGACTGGCTTGAATCTTGAATCCCATGAAGCCTTTTAATTCTCTTAGCACTTAGATTATTAATGAGCTTTAAAAATAGCACACATATAGAAGAGGTTTCATTATACTATAAATCACTGGCTGTAGCAATCTTTGGATTATGTTTCTATGTGCCTATTGTACTGTTGCTTTACATATCTTTTTGTTGGATTATTTTGGTTAGAACAATTATCTTTAGTCTAATGTTTATATCTGAAGGCTAAAATCACATGAAAAGTCCTGCATACTAGAAAGCAGTTCCTATTTAATTTTTGAGTAGAAAAATGGCCCTAAATCAGGGCAGCAGTATCAGTTGTACTTGGATGAAGTACAATAAAATCTGAGAAAGTTATAAACAATTGTTTCCTTATTAGTGATTTGTAGCCTCATTTAACTCATTTAATGGTTAATCATTTAACCATCACTGTGCCAATATAACAATAATGAAGAGGTACTTTATCTTGTCACGAAGATAATGATGTATAGAAGACTATAAAATAATAAGAAAATGGCTACAATACCACAGTTTAAGTAGCTAAGAGGAAAAAAGGAAACACAATACTGTGTTAAAACTTCCAAGGTAAAAATATTGTGCTGATTTATCTTTGATGCCTTAGCTAGTAAAACATGAGTATGTGCTATATCATATACATAAACAATTTGCCTGTTCTGGAGTTAGTTCTTTTCTAAAAGGTTTACTCTATTCAGAGGAAATTAGCAAATGATACACATCAGTTTACCCCCTCTCTCCTCACAGGTTTCCATCTCAGTATCAGATGAACCTGAGCATCAGCCAGCAGTTCAAAAACAAGAGTCTATTCAAGGGTGAGTTTGCTCTAAGATTAATTCACTTGGCTATCACAGCAGCAAAGGGGATTGGATTTCAGCTGACATTATCCAAGAGTCAATATAGCAAAACTGGAGAGTCCGAAGTGGGGGAAAGGTAGCTTAGAATATTATGCCCAAACTTGGTGAACATTCTTTATTCATAAGTGAAGAACTAAGAGGACTGTGAGTGTGTCCAGAAACAGAAGATGACTTGAGAAAGTAATAGCTCTCAAAGAATGTGAAAAGAAAGATGAAATGTTTAGTAGGTTCTTTTAATCAAATGAAATATTTTTTTAAAAAACTTGTGGATTCTCTTTACTGAAATAGTTTAGATCAAGCATTTTTAAGAGTGTGTGTCTTTAACACTCTCTTTTAAGTTATTAAAAAAGTTTTTTGCTGCATCATTTAGTTTCAATACTTGGCCATTTCTCTGACTCCCTATGGCAAAATTACCTTCTGTATAGTAGGCCCACATTGTTTTCTACATACTATTGCAGCAGAACATAACAGCAATGGGCAAAACTCAAGCTACAACATCACATTTGTAATGATCCGTATAGCTATGCCTTCCCTGTCCTATATAGACATGTGCAATCTACCCTCATGCCCATTTTCCTTTGTTAGAGGACAGCATAGAAATATAACAAACTGCCATTGAAGAAAGCTCGAATTCTCCTGTTCCCTAGGTTGGAATGTAGTGGGGGAGTGAAAGGATGTGTTGATATGCCCAAATCTGTTTTATATTTGAGTGAAATTGTATGGCTGTGGTTTTTGTCTTGGCATGACTCACATGGCCCCCACTCCCTCTATTCCAAGGTTGTGAGCCATACCTTATTAATTAATTATTGCAATGAGGACTTTCTGACTCAGAGTAATATAGATTAAAGATAATATGTTTTGACCCAGGTTTAAGTTAAATTGCATATTCTTTAAAGTTGTAAGTACAAAGTATCCCCAAAAGAATGATTGCCACCATTGAAGTAAGAAGACAAAATCTGTTTTATAATACAAATAAAGAATCAATTTGGTAGTTTTTCAAACATAATAATTTATACTATTTCCTTGTCAAAAGCATTTTCATCCAGTAGATATATGTGTTCAGCATGAGCAGTGAGGGACATTTTTATCATTTTTAAGTTACTGAACAAGTAGTGCCTGATGTGTTCAGCATGAGCAGTGAGGGACATTTTTATCATTTTTAAGTTACTGAACAAGTAGTGCCTGACATAGTCTATATTTTATTTTTTCTGCATTTATTGTTTGGCTCTGACTTAAGTTATTGGTATATTGGAAATTACATTTTATACTTACTAATATTTAGAAAGTTTAGGAGGTAAGGATATGCCTGTCTCCTAATGTTTCTGTTTCCTTCCTTTTGTTTAGCTTGGTACAGGACCTTCCAAAGGAAGGTGTGACTGGCTGTGACCTTCCATGTGGAAATGGCAAACAAGACAAGAGCAAACAGAGAAGGACCTCCTGTGCCCGACCAGAGAAGGGAACCAAATTTCAACTCACAGTGCTGCAGGTTTGTATATTTTTAAACTAGAGGCTTTTAAATAGAGGTATACAACAAAATAGCTGACCAGGTTCCTTGCCTTCTCGGACTTTATTTATTTTTAACAAAGAAGTTACTAAAGTTAGCTGTGAAGCAAAGCATCATCAAGTAGCATCACTTTTCTTGAGAAAAATGCCA